CTGACAAGGTCATTGTATCGACCATAGAACTTACGAAATGATGACTTTAAAACGAGACAGCTGATATTCTTGTTTCATCAACTTATTTGTCAATAATTTACCTTGTTTTAGAAATTGTACATACGTAGAGCATGCTCTTGCGTATCGAATCAACTGAGAGATAAATAACCCGTATGCAGGTGATGAAGGTATATTGCTGCATAAGTAAGGGAAGTTGACGATTGAAAAGTTAAAGTCATCACGTTTATCATAAAGCTTGGTTGTTAGATTACCATTAACATCTTTTTCAAGTAAAATATCCAAATATGAAACAGAGATGTCAGACTCTGTGGTATCTTTTATCTCAAGTTCACCAGGATATATCGTATCGACATAAGAATGGAAATAGTCATTGTTAATTGACAATGCGTCGTCGATATATCTAAATGTCGAGTTGAAGACCACAGCAAGTGTTTTCTTCTTTTCATGTACAAGATTTTGGACAAATTCTACTTCATATGAATACAAAAAAAGGTCTGCTAATAACGGGGCGCAATTGGTACCCATGGGAATTCCAATAGATTTTTGGAAGACCTGGTCTCCAAAAACCACATAGATATTGTCAATCAGAAACTCAAGCATCTTTTTAATGTCAACTTCAGAGTACTTGTGTGTACAATCAGAATGTTTTTTAACAAAATAATTTTGCAAATGACCAATGACAAGGTAAGTATATTTACGAGTTCCATTTTTAATGAAAAAGCAGCTGTCAATGATATCAAAAAGCCTGGACTTTAATTTATCGTGGGGAATGGTTGTGTATAAAGTTGAAAAGTCGTTAAGTAAGTTTTAAAGCTGATTTTGGTAAAATCTTGTGATTTCAAATTTTCCAAAAGTTCCTTGGAATTTTTAAGTATCCACATCTGATTTACACCACTTCTCGAATATATTGTTGCACAGTACTCTTGAAGTTTCTCCTTCACCACTGTTAATATCTTAGTTAGGAGTAAAGATAGAGGCTTGGTTGAACATATACTGGAACCCGCTATGTATCTTTGTTTGTAAGGATTTTTATGAAGTTTCGGAATCCAATATAAATATGGTAATTCGAATTCATTTTGGTTGTTTGGAATATTAAAAATATTCAAAACTGACATATGATTTTGAAGAAGTTCTTCCTTAGAAAGGGAACTATGAGTATAAGTTGGATTACCACTTGTAGAATTAAATTCAAGTTCCTCTAAAATACATTTAATATAATGAGTCTTACAAACAAAGACAATGTTGTTACCTGCTTTGTCAGCAGGGACCAGTACGTACTGATCATGTAATCTATCTTTGTATTACATATCTTTGCAACAAATGCATCAATCAAAATGATAAAAACATACATGTACTTAGAACTCTTAGAAGACTCTCTATTAACCCTGTAAATCCCAGAGAAAAATATTGAAAAACAAAAAAGTTACAAATTTAACATTTTTTAATTCACTTCCGCTTGCGACCGGAAGTACGAACGACGGAAAATAATGGTCGATCAACATATCTACATTTGATGCTCTATCACCTCAGCAAGTTTCATATTCATATCTTATCATATATATCGAAAGACCTTAATAATAACAAGTAAACTAATTGTTCAGAGAACAATTAGAGACCTTTCCACCTTTTTAAGTGTTTTTGTGTCGTTTAGGCCGAAAAAAAAGAAAAATGCCAAAAAAGCAAAAAAAAAAAAAAAAAAAAAAAATCCTCCTCCAGCTGGGATCGAACTCAAAACCTTTGGTTTGAAAGGCAGGTGCTCTAACCACTGCTCTACACATTCCGATAAAATTGAGTAAGTTAATTGTTTAAGACTATAGAATAAATACAAGGGTATTTTTAGAATCGGTAGGGGAAGAAAGAAGTTCCGTAAAAGGAAATAGTTCCTGTACTTGCAAGCAGTATATAAAATAACAAGGGACGGGTGTGCGTGAGAAAACGTTAACACTGTTCCCTAATGAAAATGTATTAATGGACTGTAGCCCAATTCATCGATATTGTGAGCATGCTGAATTTTTTGAAAATAGCTTAGTTGTAAGCTTAAAAGATCGGGTTCGGATTTTAACATTTCTAACTGAATATCCTGAAATAAATATGAAACATTTAAATAAGCATTTCTTTGGGTTAAATTAAATATGTGTAGCACAAATTAAACTCCCAACATGCATTTTTAGAAGGGAAACACGACAATGAAAGCGAGAACTGTTTTTAATATACCGAAAATCGCTATTTCTGGAAACTGATTAATTCTAAATAAAAATCAAATAAATTCCAAATGTAAAAGAAAGAGAGAATGCTTGGTATTAAAATGTCGTATCATATCAGGAAAATCGAATGCTACTAACGACATCTGAGGAAATAGCCGATGAAAGGTTTAGATCATTTCTTCGTTTACCTGCACTTTAATTTCAAACACAACAGAACTTGTAGTTCTTGCCGTGAAACTTCATGACTTCTATAAACTTATAAGACTCACCGTAAAACTCTCAAGAAAGTTTCTCTGAGGTCTATACTACATATGTACCAAATATGTTGTCGATCCGAGGTCTGGTTTGAATTTTACAGAAATATTCTACGTTGTTGTTGATGTGATTTTTTTTTAAGAAGGGGGGGGGGGAATGAATTATTTATTTTATGCCTCTTTTAAACTAAGAATTGTAACTACTTTCACATCTTTAAGCCTGATTGTGACCTTTGGGTCAAGATCAAAGGTCAAGGTCATTTAAAAAAAAAAACAAAACAAAAAACAAAACAAAACAAAACAAGGAAATCTTTACTTTCTATGTTTTTACCTGATACTGGAGCTGGATGCATGTCCTTACTTTTCATTTGACCCAATGTCAAGGCCAAAGGTCAAGGTCAAAGTTCAAGGTCATTTGGTGAATTGCTATATTTTACACATATATAAGGAATTTCTTATGTTTTTAAATGACTTTGACCTTGACGTATATTTCAAGGTCAAAGTCAAACATGCCGATGCAGTTGGTCCCATGTCTCTAGGATACACCGTTTTAAAAAAAAGTTCATTAAATGTAAGCAGCATAAACTTTTAGGGGTAGTAACTCATACAAGGGACCAAAGAATGCTTTTGCAATGATAGAATGAAGAGAGTATTAAATGAGTCGAAGACACTGCTGCTGAAGGCTTGGAATCTCTACGTTTTACGGTTTCGGAGGAGTAGCGATAACAAGGTTTTATTGCAAAAGGGGTGACAACTTTTGAATGGGTCAAGCTTTGGGAACAAGAATGAAATCCTTAAAATAGTTTTAGAAGGGCATATTATAGATGCAAAGATATTCAGTATATGTCGAAAGGTTTTCTACAGAATCTCTGACAAAAAAAGCTTTTAAAAATCAGCAAAAACTACCATACATGTTTTTAAAGAGAGAGAAGTCATTAGCAACTGAAAAAAAGAGAAAAACAAAGAAAAAAAAATTAACTACCTCCAGCAGGATTCGAACCCCAGACAGTGGGACAAAGTTTAGATCGGTCATATCTTTGCAATAAATGCACGCATCAAAATATTGAATACATATTTAGAATTCTTGTAAAACACTCTATAAACCTTGTAAATCCTAAAGAAAAATATTGAAAAACAAAAAAGTTGAAAAATTGAACTTTTTGAATTCACTTCCGTTTGCGACCGGAAGTGCCGACGACGAAAAATAAAGGTCGTTCCCCATATTGGAATTTGATGTTCTATTTATTCATTGAGTTTCAATTTCATATCTTTAGCCGTTGTCGAGAAAAATTCTGGACAAAATGCCATTTGAAAAATACAAATTTCCCCAAAAATCGCGAACAGAAGTGAATTTTGAAAAAATGAAAAACACGTCTGGAGATATTTACATGATGCATCTTCCGCGAAAAAATCTCTGAAATCTGCTCACTCACAGCTGAGATATCGCCATAACTATGAAAAAAAGAATAATAATAATAATAATAATAGAAAACAGACGGAAAACAATAAGGTCTTCCGAAGGAAGTCGGAAGACCTTAATAATAATAATAATAATAATAAGAAACAGAGTAAAAACAATATGTTCCCAAACTTCGTTTGGGGAACATAATTAAGAGTTTGTAAGAGAAAACCAAATTAATCTTTGATGAAATTTTGTGTATGCTATCTTTGGAGTTGATACAGGGTGTCCCAAAATATGTGATACCATTTGAAATACCTGCAACAAACGCATCCATTGGCCAAATTCCTTGATATATTTCTCAAAAAATATTTGAGTAAGTACAATTTTTTAGCAACAAAATATTCCCCAAAAAATCTCACGCTTATGAAATTGCAATGTAACAAATTTATATCAAACTTTTGCTAAAAACTGCAATTTCAAACAAAATGGATTATCAAAAGAGCCAGCTACACTCATTTTTAAACTGTAATCATTAATCCTAGTCTTAGGTTACTGTTGCTAAACCTAAACCAGAATCCTTAACATATATAAAAGGTTTACCTCTGATGAAAATCCAGAAGTTAACACCGAGACAGGCAGTGTTGTCTCAAGTTAAGGAATTTTGTGGAATGTCTAGACATTATCATTACACAGATAGAACGTCATTTAGAGGACATCACTTAAAAACCATAGCATTTTTCAAAGTGAACTCATTTTGTTGTTTTCTTTTTAATGGCTGTCAAATTATGTGAATAAAATTGGACAGTATATGCAATGCTTACAATGCATTTGTTGTAATTCAATATTCATTACATAAGGTTTTACAGAATCTTGAAATGGTATCATATATTCTGAGACACCCTGCCATGACCTTTGACCTATAAATTAGTTGTTGATGCCATTTAATCATGTAATGAGTTTGGTGATATAATGATTGTGAAATTTTGCAATTCTTTCATATTTTATTATATATTTTCATATTTATACCACTAAGTTATAATGTAGTGTTTTAGTTTGTAGAATTGATTTTATATAAAGGCTATAAAAGCATTGTCTGTGAATATACACATATTATTCCAGGTTGTCTGTGGACAAGATCACTCTTTTTTCTTGACCAGCAGTGGACAGGTGTACAGCTGTGGTCTGGGAGCTGATGGTCAAACAGGTATATATGGTAACATTTACCTATACATCTGGAGTTAGTCAGGGTCTGCAGTTTCCTCCTTGTTTGTCTTGTTTAAATGTTTTTTTCATCATGATATCCACACCAACTGCTATAAATTAATGTTCATGAATTAGGACACTTAAAATTTAATTACCACATTCTTCTGTGTCAATTGATTAGCATGATCATAATTTTTTGCATATATAACTAAGTTTCTTAATATATTTATTTTAAACATACAATTTATTTAGCATTTTCTTTAATTATGAGTGTTGAGATGCTAAAATATGATTATTAGTTTATTACCATTATATTAAGTCTTTTTACTGTAGTTTTACTTGTAGTTAAAAATTAAGGCTTAATTTTGAAAAAAATACATGTAGTTTTTGTATAAGTATACAAAATGCAGGAAACTGAGTTTATTATCATTTATTTGCATATTAGCATGCTGTGAGTGAGTTTTTACTCTGCCTAACTCATGCCGCCATACTTAAATTGGGGACAAAAATATTGTAAATGACTTTCTCTGACAGGTTTAGAACATTACCACTGTGAATGGAGACCATCTTTGGTTGGTGGAGACATAGATGGAGAGAAGATAGTACAGTTGTCTAGTAAGGCGGACTGTGTGCTGGCGGTGTCTGAACGAGGCGATCTGTTTGGGTGGGGGAACTCGGAGTACGGACAGTTGTCAATGATTACCGAGGAGACACAGGTGTCTGTGCCCAGACATATCCCCCTCCACCATTCTGTCACCAAGGCAGCAGCAGCGGGGTCAAAGTGTGCCGTGTTAACAGGTAAATCTACACATACCCTGAATCATGCTAAATTTTTAAAGAGTTTTTTAAAAGAAATAAATCGTTAAAAATTTCCTTTTCAAGAAGAATAGCACAAAAATACAGTATCAGGGCAATTTTTGCATAATTGTGTACGTTGTCATGTCAGCTAATCAAAAATTTTGTTCCTTTTTGGACATCCAAGTGACTCAGGACCTGATATTACCTTAATTATTTGTCCTTTGTGAGTTAATTGTGCCTCATTCAGCAGTTCTAAACTTCAGAACATTTTCAGGACCCCTAAAATAGTTTTGATAATTAAATTTTGCAAAAAAGAATTTCACTGGGAAAAGGAACAAAAATTATAAATTTCGTATGTCTATGCCCTTTGCCTAAGAAGTGAGGGGCCAAAACCAACAAATTTAATATATTCTTTGAAAATCTTTGTAAACTTTTTTGTAGATAGTTTGCTTTTATTTGCTCTTGCTTATTTGCCTTTCTCTTTAGAGTTACATATTTATACATATTCATCGTATATTGCAGATAAGAATGAAGTACTTGTATGGGGTTTTGGATCATTAGGACTGGGACCTAATGTCCAGTCAGCCAGCACTCCTCAGACCATACCCCCCACATTGTTTGGTCAGAATGAATTAGCACCTGACAAACTTGTCAGTGACATTGCTTGTGGCATCAACCACTTTGCAGCCAGAACAAGTGTGTATACATTTAATCTACATAGATCTTCTAGATCTGCATTCTTTGGAATCATTATTGTTCATGGGGGATCAATGTTTGTGGATTTTGTGGGTCAACCTTACCCACAATTTTACATCCCTATGAATGATTTTTTTTTTATCAACGTAACACCTCAATAAATTTTTTGCATAAAAATGTTACCCATGAAATTACATCCAACAAACAGGAAAAATTTTGGTAACCCATGAACATTGATCCCCATGAATTAAAGGGGTCTGGACACAGATTTGAAGTTAATATTTTCTCAAATTTTCTGTATAATATGATGGCATATATGTTGCTATAGATTTCACATGGAAATATAACAAAAGTGTGTTCAGAAACTTCTTTAATTTGGAAATTATTGAAACTATGAATTTCGGGATGTATGTATTCCTTTGTAAAACTTTGCTTAATATAGCCCCAACCAAGACTCAAGAGTCATGATTTGAACAAACTTGAATCTGTACTACCTGAGGATGCTAAGCCATGATTGGTCGTATTTATTTGGGGGGAGGGGGGGGAGGTAGGGAGGGACCACAATTGGTTATCAAAATTTTACTAAGGAATAAAAGGAAAAATCTTTCAAAAGCTTCTTCTCAAGAACAGCAAAGCCATGATTGGTCATATTAATTCAGAAGCATCCTTAGGTAGTGTAGATTCAAGTTTGTTCAATTCACCCCCCCTTTTATATTTAAACTTTTCAATACTGTACTTCCTTTTCCTAGCCAAAGTGCTCAGGAGAGCGATGTGGCCCATGGGCCTCTTGTATAGTAAAAATGCATTAATTCTTTGAAAATTTTCTTCTTTGCTCCTGGGTGTTAAACAAACTAACTAAGTACATAGTTATGAAGAGCAAGGGTGTCTCTTCCAAAATTGTGAATTTCATGGTCCCTGGGTCAGGGGCTATGGTGTTAGGGCGGGGCTCTATGGATTATATAGTGAGTGTTCTTCTCTGCTCCTGGGTTTTATTTAAACAAACTAAGTGCATGGTTATGTTAAGCAAGTATGCTTCTTCCAAAATTATGAAATTCATGGGCCCAGGGTTGGGGTTCTGGTGAAAGGGGGTGCTCTATAGACTATATAGTGAAAATATTCTTTTCTGCTCCTGGCTATAAAACATAACTAGGTGCATAGTTAGGGTGAGCAAGAGTGCTTCTTCCGGAATTGTGAGTTTCATGGCCCCGGGTCAGACGTTCTGGTGTAAGGGTGGGGCTCTATTGATAATGTAGTGAAAATGCATGGATTCTATCTAATTATTCTGTCTGCCCCTTAGTGTTGAACAGATAAAAAAAGTGCATGCATTTGATAAACAAGTTGTTACTGAATACTAGATTAATTATTTTGTTGATCCTGATCATCCTATATTTCTATTGCTTTAGGCAACAAAGTTTCATCTTTCAGTTTATTTTATACTCTATAGATCCTCTAAATTGTTGTATTATACTCAGGTGACCGTTAAGGCCTTTGGGCTTCTTGTTGTAATAAAGACTTAGATTTAAGATACATGTATAACAATATAGAAATGTTAGCATTTCTATCTATGAAACAGTTAAATGCCTGAAATAATAATTCAACAATTATAATTGCAATTGTTTGAAATTTAATTTACTAGATGAAATCCCGCGCAAGCGCGGGGAATTGAATTTATACCACTACCGACAGAATATATATTGTAGTTAATTTCTACTGACAGCCTACAGGGTTATAGCAGGAAGAAATACTTTGTTCAAAATCCCGCATGTGCTCCCCCCCCCCTTTCGTAAAAGCTTGAAAAAAATAACAATTTCATTAATTGATGTTTATTTTGAAACCTGTTATACTATGTTCATGATGTTATGGATATTGTACTTCAGATGCTCTTATATCATTTCCGTCAAGGATAAAAGCAGTGAATATTCACATTTTACTGATAAATTGATTTGGGGGGGGGGGGGGGGAGATTCACAGGTACTTGGGTCTTGGGTTATGTATATGTATGTACCTTATTGATATGTAAAAAATGTACTTTACTTTTTTTTTTTTTTTACATATCAATAAGGTACATACATATATATAATCCAAGACGCAAGTACCTGTGTAAAAATTAGCTTTTAACGCCCTATGAATAGGCTGAGTATTTGATACAAAAGACTGTATTCAGAAAAAAAAACTGAAATGTATTGATTAAAGCACAAAATTTTACAGCTTTGATTGTATTTGAACAATGTCTTATTCATTAATTTTCTCTTTTCATGTAAGCAAGTTTATTACGAAGTAGAAATTGTACTTCGGGTTCGTCGCCACGATGCTCTCGGTGAGGCATTTTACTGATAAATTTATTAGGAAAACCTACTACATATATGTAACAGTCTTTCGATATATAAATTTATTCACAACTTATAGTGTTATCAACGATTTACCATTATTTCAATGACCATTCACACATAAGCTTTTTTTATGTTCGTCTCGTTTTTCTTTTTAACATCGGGCTCGATGCTATATGATGTTCTAGAAGCTTCCGTCAATATTAAGATCGGTGAATGACAAAAATAATTTGCACATTTCCCTTTTTTATCGGTTATCACAACTTATTTCTTTTATGTCTTTTAAATCAAGTTTTGATTGAATAATTCAGTGTTGACGTTTTATGAAATAAATAAACGATTGCTTGTTGTCAGTTTAATTGAAAATTGCCAGAAACTTAGATCCGCCAACCGGAAACGCCACCATACTCACGTTTTTGCTATTTCATGGCTCTTTATAGAAAATAAAAGTAGACTTTTAATTTAATGTACGATACTTACAATGCGAGTGAAATCTAAATATAGTTTACGGACACCATATTGTATCTAGTGTATTCTTAAAGGAGTAAGTAAAAACTCTGGTGCATCCGTTTCGGAGTTTATTTGCAAAATTTATTAATTTATAAGTATAGATATTCATTATAAACTGTTCCTTTGTTATTAATCTATTTTCACCCAACAATTGATCACTATGATGCCATGCTTTAATATGATGATGTCACATTACATTTTACTGAGACAGGAAATGTGCAACTATATATATATATAATATATATATATATATATATATATATATATATATATATATATATATATATATATATATATATATATATATGAAAATTAAAAATAACAAGGCAACAATGTTAGTAAAACGTAAGCGCTTTCATTACTTCTTCAGACTTTTTACAATTCAAAACAATTCAAACATGTGACGTTATAACGCTACCTGATGATAACGTCAACAACAATGCAATTCAAAACAATTCAAACATGTGTATATATATATATATATATTTATATACTGTAAACCAACTATCATTCGTGTGCAAAAAATATCCACGAGTTTTGGCCATACTTTAACTTGGGAATATTAATGGCCGGGAACCATTTATTTTGCTTTATATTGGTAGAGAATGTGCCCTCAGTCGCAAAATTAAACGTCGTGGACTGATTTCAAACTGACGAATCGTGAATAAAAGATGACACGAATAATAGTTGGTTTGCAGTATTCAAGACATTGAGATATTAATGCATATATAGTCCTTGATGTTTGAAAGTAGAAGAAAATGCCATTTTCATTGTATTTTTAACTTTCAGATGATTTTGAAATGTTTGTATGGGGGAAGAATCAAAAAGGCTGCTTGGGGATTTATATCGCTGAGAGAATGGACCAGACGTACCCATTCAGGGTAGGGAACAGCTCCTACCACTCATCTCTCAAATAAGAACATGTTTTAATTAAGGAAGTCTTAAGCTATTTTATATATGCTTCCTGTGGGTATTACATGATCTAAGTCTCGTTTACTTAAAAGATCATGACTATGCAATCTGGTGTAAAAGTATTTTTCCATAGTTTTTAACTTAGATATTTTATGTGTTTTTAAGATGAAGGTCATGAATGCACAAGTCAATTGTAAAAAATATGTTGTTTTGATTTCAGGTGTCTGTTCCAGCTGAGGTCCTGCGAGTATTTTGTGGGGTGGATCACACGGTGGTGATGTGCAGATCATTTTCTTGATGAAGAGTACTGAAGTAACCACATGTTATTGATTGTTGACTTTTTATTTTGCATGTTTTTACCTGGCATCCTAAATGAAGAGTATAAACTTTGCTTTGACATTTTTTTGATTTCAAAACAACAATGTTAACATTAACTTTGGTAGCAAATTGGTGAGGGTTTCCCAGTTACTTCACTTCAATTAAAAAGAAATGCCAAGTGTGATTTTAGTGTATTCAAAATTTCACATTTTAATTAAAATTAGCAGATTTTATGTAAAGTTTTGCTCCACATTTGTGACGTCACAATGTGAAAATGACGTCAATATGTAGATGACTTGTGACAAAAAATGGTTGACTCAGTCGTACTAGAGCAACAAACAGCTGTGAAGTTTAATGTATATCTTGGAAATTCCTTTGCAGTAGCACATAATAATTTGTACAAGGTTTATGAAGACAAAAGACTTGCCAGAAGTTCAATCATTAATTAGATTGATTGTTTTAGTGAAGGAAGGGAGATGGAAAAAAATTATGTGTGTTCTGGTGCCCAGTGAAAGTAAGCTGGGGAAGAGATGTGTCCTTAGTTGAGCAGTTTAATTGTTATGAAAGATCGCCAAGTTACAGTTAGAAAAATAGTTGAATATCTTAACAATAATATAATTATTAAATCCCTAAAATATTGTTTACTTTAGACTTTAAACAGATATGATAAAAAGAAAGCGCCCATACTTTATTCACATTGGATAAACGACACTTCTAAGTCAAAGAAGTCAGGTTGTTATGGTCACCATGCTCATTCTGGGGAAGGACATCCTTATCCATCCATCCTATTGCCGAGATTTTGCCATTTCTGACATATGGACTGTTCTTGTTATAAAAAATAACTTGCATGGTAAGAAATATAAGACTTGAAAAAATCTTTAGCTTTCGTGAACAGAACGCTATGGAGCATGTCACTTGACCGCCTGGATCATGTAATTCGCGCATAGGCAGAACGGTGGCAGATGTGCATTAAAATCAGAGAAGACTTCTTTTGAAAATAATGAACACTGAAACCTAATTTTATTTATTATATGGAAGTAATTCAATTAATTTGCGAACTTTTTAATCACCTCTCATATATTGAATGGAAATGCTAGGCATTGAATACAAAAAATGGTTAACCCCTCTCCCCCAACTCCATTTTTATAAGAGTTTCAGAGGATTTGCACTGTCATACTTTTTCAGTAGCATTTTGGTCAAACGCTTAAGTTAAAAGGGGGCATATCTCCCAGAAAAAAATTGAATCAGAATTTCAGGGGAGATGTCCATGATCTCCATTTATGCCAGATTTTGAGTACACTATAGTAAGAACAAATTGTGAATTTTAAAGAAGTTGAGCATGCACAATAATCACACACATATTAATTAGTTTTTATGGAAATTACAGGCATATTTCATTTTCTCAAATTTTGAAAAATTTTATTATGCCCCCGGATCGAAAGATCCCAGGGGTATATTGTTTTTGGCCTGTCTGTCTGTTTGTCTGTTTATCTGTTTGTCTGTTTAGCTGTTTTTCTGTTTGTCTGTTTGTCTGTCTGTCTGTTGTCAACTTTAACCTTGCCCATAACTTTTGATTGGTTGGAGCTATGACTTTCATATTTCACATGTGTATTCCTTGTGACAAGACCTTTCTTTGGATACCATCATATTTGACCTTTTGACCTTGACCTTGGAGTTTGACCCACTGCAAAATTTTATGAGACTTTAACCTTGGCCATAACTTCTGAACAATTGGTGCTTGGGGTTTCAAACTTCACATATGTATTCTTTGTGACAAGGCCTTCCTTTGGATACCAACAACTTTAACCTTTTGACCTTTGACCTTGGAGTTTGACCTACTTTTGAAAAACTTTAACCTTGGCCATAACTTTTGAATGGTTGATGCTAGGGCTTTCATACTTCACATATGTTATTCTTGTGACAAGGCCTTCCTTTGGATACCAACCATTTTGACCCTTTGACCTTGACATAGGAGTTTGACCTACTTTTGAAAAACTTTAACCTTGGCCATAACTTTTGAATGGTTGGTGCTAGGGCTTTCATTCTTCACATTTGTAATCCTTGTGACAAGACTTTTCTTTGGATACCAACCACTTTGACCCTTTGACCTTGACATAGGAGTTTGACTTACTTTTGAAAAACTTTAACCTTGGTCATAACTTTGGAATGGTTGGTGCTGGGGCTTTCATACTTCACATATGTAATCCTTGTGACAAGATCTTCCTTTGGATACCAACCACTTTGACCTTGACCTTGACGTTTGACTATTATTTAAAAAACTTTAACCTTCGCCATAACTTTTGAACAGTTGCATCTAGGTATTTCAAATTTCACAGGTATATTCCTCGGGACAAGACCTTTCTTTGAGTATCAACATTTTTTATCTTTTGGCCTGGATTTTGACTTGCATTTGAGAAACTTTAACCTTCGCCATAAGCTGCCATACGGGGGCATCAGTGTTTCACAAACACATCTTGTTTTTAGCTCTACTGGTCAGAGACCAGAAGAGCTTATGCGATAGTAAGGTGTCCGTCGTCCGTCCGTCTGTCTGTCTGTCTGTCTGTCTGTCCGTCTGTAAACAATTTTTCAAAATGCTACTCCTCCTACAGTTTTGGTCTGATTTCAGTATAACTTGGCACACAAGTAGACTATACTAAGATACATAATTCTGTGTATCGGTTTTTGATTTCGATGAACGGTGTTGCCATGGTTACTAAAAATAGAAATTTCTGTGAAAAATATTCAAAATGCTACTCCTCCTACAGTTTTGATCTGATTTCAATATAACTTGGCATACAAGTAGACTATACTAAGATACATAATTCTGTGTATCGGTTTTTGATTTCGATGAACGGTGTTGCCATGGTTACAAAAAATAGAAATTTCTGTGAAATACTTTCAAAATGCTACTCCTCCTACAGTTTTGATCTGATTTCAATATAACTTGGCACACAAGTAGACTATACTAAGATACATAATTCTGTGTATCGGTTTTTGATTTCGATGAACGGTGTTGCCATGGTTACTAAAAATAGAAATTTCTGTGAAAAACATTCAAAATGCTACTCCTCCTACATTTTTGATCTGATTTCAATATAACTTGGCACACAAGTAGACTATACTAAGATACATAATTCTGTGTATTGGTTTTTGATTTCGATGAACGGTGTTGCCATGGTTACTAAAAATAGAAATTTCTGTGAAATACTTTCAAAATGCTACTCCTCCTACATTTTTGATCTGATTTCAATATAACTTGGCACACAAGTAGACTATACTAAGATGCATAATTCTGTGTATCGGTTTTTAATTTCGATGAACGGTGTTGCTATGGTTACTAAAAATAGAAATTTCTGTGAAATACTTTCAAAATGCTACTCCTCCTACAGTTTTGATCTGATTTCAGTATAACTTGGCAAACAAGTAGACTACACTAAGATACATAATTCTTTATATTGATTTTCTGATTTCGATGAACATTGTTGCCATGGTTACTAAAAATAGAAATTTCCTTGAAATACCTTCAAAATGCTACCCCTACAGTTCTGGTCTGATTTTAGTATTACTCAGCACACAAGTAAACTACACTGAGATACATAATTCTCTGTACCAGTTTCGGATTTCGATGAACAGTGTTGCCATGGTTACTAGAAATAGAAATTTTCTTTAAATACTTTCAAAACGCTACTCCTCCTACACTTTTTGTCTGATTTCAGTATAATGTGGCATACAAGTAGACTACAGAGATACATAATTGGTGTTATTGTTTTTTGATTTTGTTGAATGATGTTGCCATGGTAACTTAAATCAAAATTTCTGTAAAATTGTTTTAAAAGGCTACTCCTCCTACAGTTTTAGTCTGATATTATAATAAATCTTGCCACAAAAGAGACTAAACCAAGGATCATTATTCTGTTTATTGCTGTTGCAATTAGTTTCAAGTCCAAGTGCTACTTTTATCTTCCTTTATAAATACAACCAGTAGAGCTACAGTCTCGTCAGAGACTTCTGGTTATTTTTACATTTCTGCAAAAAATTTTGTCCTGTTTCAACAAAATGATATATATCTATTATTGTATCTGTATAATCACTGCATTTCTGCAAATAACCTGACAGCATCAGTACCTTATACATAAGTATTATGCAAGAAAGGCAAAGACAAACTTGACCTGAATATCTAAGAGACTGTGTAGAACAAATTAGGTGTCTGAACAGACATGTAAGATGTTCTGGCACCGAATTTATATGCAATTATGGCTTTGATTTTAACATAGAACATTTTTAAGTTACATGTATGTATTGTGGCAACTAAAGTGTCATTTTGAGAAATAAAATCTATCATAGTAACTTTTTATATCAATTTGTGGAAATGTGTTGCACTGTAAATTATCAGTCCACCACTCTTTAAGACAGTTCAAATTCTTGGACACTTTTGAGAAAGTGGAATTTTTTTATTTATTGGTCATCATGTGGCCTCAGTTTGTAAAGTTTCACTATAAACATGGTCAGAGTATTTTTTAATTTTATGACTTGGCAATTTGATTTTTCTAGAATTCATTACCTATGACTTTATCTCCTATGTGTGTTGTAATAATGTTCAAAGTATAACTTAGCAAAGAGAGGTTGAAAAGATTTTCCCAGGGTTACCATTTGACAGATCAATATGCTAGCTATATCATCCTCATGTAGATTTGAATTGTTCCGTCCTTGACCTCTGAATGGCTACAATATTTATCTTGTCCTACTACAGTATGTAATAAATTAAAGTTTAAATGTCAACATTTTTAAGTAGAACAGCAAAGTGGAAAGGCATTCAGCTAAAGAATCAAGGATCAAGCATTTGAATCCTCTCATAAATCTTTTTTTTTTTTTGGATGAATTGAAAAACCTTCCTGTGAAAGAAGTAGGTATAATAAGCATTGGTGTTTGTCCAAAAATTTCAATATTTTACTAAGATGAGCTTAAGCAATGGTTAAACGGCTCTGCCTGTCATTCCACCTGTCTGTCTGTAAGCAATTTTTCAATTTACAAAATTCTATGTATGTACTTATTTTGATGGACAAGTCGTCATGGTTGCTTAAAATAGAAAACTTTTCAAGACATAATATAAATTCTAAATTGTTCTAAATCATGTCCCCTGGGGAGTAGAGTAGGGTAGGGACAAACTGAGGATCAGTTTTACATTAGAATAAACAGGACATTTTTTTAGTATCTTCTTGAGAACAACTGGACATGAAAAGATGAAAGCTTCCCAGACATATAATTTAGATTATAAATTGAAGCAAATCATGGCTCTCAGGGGCCACAATAGGGGGATCTACCAGTTTTACATGGGAAGATATTGGAACAAGAACAACTGGATCTGGAAAGATGACAACTTATGTTGAAGCTTCATGACATAATGCAAATTCTGAATTCTTTAAATCATAACACAACCCCCTCCCACCCCACAGGTGGGTTGGGGGGGAGGGCTTAGATTTTGTGGGGTTACAAAAGTGGATCAAAGTTTAACATTGAACTAAATTAAAAAAAATAATCTTCTCAAGAACTATAATGGAACCATAATTTTCAAACATTCCCAATTTAATGTGTAGATTCAATTTTTCTGTTTTACAAATTATGGACCCTGGGTTAGAGTTGGCTTAAATTAGGATGGAACTTTACATAATCTATGTATATAGGAAAAGAATATTTTCTCCATAACTGCAAGTCTATGTTATACATGTAGTCATATTGATATTGACCCCTTGTGAAGATTCAGAAATCCCATAGTCTAAGAGTTGTGATGGAGCCACAGTTTTTATGGGAATTTATTAAAGGGGAAACTTTTGTAAAAAATCTTATAAAAGAACTTAAGGGCTTTATTAGTTACTCAGGTGAAGATTGTGGTCCATGGGGCTGTTGTCATAGCAAACTGAAAATAGAAATTTCTCTGTTCCTCGTTAATAATGCTATTTCTCCCAAATTTCTTGTTTGATTTCAAATAAAACTTGGTATAAAAATAGACTACACCACTATAGAGAATACCTTAGATCAGGTTTAGATTTCCTGGGACTTTGTTTTGTTGCCATGCTTACTTAAAATAACAGAAAGTATGAAATTCTTTCAAAATGCTTCTCTTACAGTTTTGGCCCGATTTTATTGAAACTTTGGAACAGAAGCAGATTATATAGAGCTTTGTTAATCAATTTTTAATTTCTATGAGTAATGTTGCAACATGATCAATAAATATATGTGAAATTCTCTTAAAATACTGCCTCCTTCTGGCTTCAATTTTGGTTTGATTTAGTAGAACTTGGTTCAAGTTTAGAAAGTGTGAAGATATATAATTTTGTTAATTTAAATGATTAAAGTGTACATGTAGCTTTTTTCTTCCACTATTATAAGTCCAAACCAATAAAGCTACATTCTCATCAGAGATTTCTGGTTTAAGAAAACAGATTAATAAGATAATTCTTCGATCTATGTAGAGTAGTCTTATTGATTAAACAACTACTGTTCTCCATGTCCTGGATAAGAATTTTCTGTGTGGATTAATAAGAACACACTGAGGGTGATTTGCATATTTTTATTACACCATTTAATACACGTAATCACTGACAATTAATGATAAGAAGTATAGACTAACCCTATAATAAACATCAAATAACTTATACAAGATGATCTTAAAAGTAGATTGGCAGTTCAAGTACTACTGTCATTTTAAACTATCACCTGTTATTGGAAAACAAAGAAAAAAAATCAAATATTCATTTCTTACAGTTACATTAAACTATTACAAATCATTGGTAAATATTGGAATAATTGAAATAAAAAATATCTTTTTTTTTACATGCTCTCTTTCTGAGCAAAATGATGTTTAATATATCCCTGCCGATAAAGGAGTCCCAATTGAGTGATGGCAAGAAGTCTTGGAATGTGGATATCATTCAGTCTCTGAGCAATTCCTTAAAATAATGGTGGGAGGGTAAAATATATTTTTGAGGAGATAAAATTATGATTTAATTATGGAATATTATAGCATGATTTCTAAATAATGATCTGGTGTTGGTTATGACCTGTCTCTATATACATGCTTCTCTCTCTCTGGGCAGGCATGTAATGATGCTGAACAATTGTGAATTAAAATGTATAATTAAAGATTAAATGAACAGAATAAATAAATGACACAATGAAAATGTTTGGATGAGTAAAATAAATAACACTTAAGACTCTGCATAAAACACTATATATTTTTCATGGTAAAAGGTGCGATTAAAAAATAAAAATATTTATAATTTTATTCCTTTTTAAAAATATTTAATTTTGAAATTCTAGACATAAACTGCAAAATTTGTCTGCACAGCTGTCATAAAGAACAGCTGAGTTTGTGAAAATTATACACTTCAAAAATCTCTTGTTAGGTGGACTTTAAAATGTTCCTCAATTTAAAATATCATTGAAGTTTCAATAAAATGCATGTCAAATATGAATTGTCTCTGGCAATGATCTGCTAAAAGAGGTAGCCATTATAAAGAAGAGTCAGTCTTAAGGGAGATAACTCTATTTGCTATAATACATTTATTAACCTCTGCTTAAGTCATGTAATTGAAGATGTACATCTGTACATGTAATTATATCAAGGTGATTGAAAAACGCTACTGATAATTAACTACTGAGGTAGACATTGGCTAATATAGTATAAAATGTGATTGACTATCAATGCCCACATACTGTAACTTATATGTACACAGTTATTGCTGTATTACACAAAAATTCCTCCACTGAAGATCATGATGAAATACATATACACACACTATAGGACTATAAATAACACACAACTGGATTTCAAAAAATACTTTACACATTTAATAACTAGTAGTATTGCTGGATTACATAGAAAAATTATATTTACAATAAAAATTACAGAAATAGAATTTACAGTGGACATTGTATAAATAAATATGTAAATCTGAATCGACATTAAAACTACACTGATTTAAAACATTTACAGAAAAAAGTGGATACACTTGCAAACATGGAAAATTCTCAATTACAGATACAGTACACTATACGTAGACAATAAAGGGGTGGGGGTGGGGTGTGGGGTGTGGAAGGTAGGGTGAATGTTTAGGATACCTCACGGAATACTGTGGACAATAAAGGGTAGGTTGGGGTAGGGGAAGGGGGCATGTGTAGGATACCTCATGGCAAGAGCATCTTAAATCAAAGCACAAAATATTTATCCCTGAGTTTGGTTTATGAAACTTTAATTACAAAAGGTTACATGATCATTATTGCACAGTGAAGTGGCGATTCCAGTATGAAGTTATGGTGATGTTGTAAAAAAAAAAAAGTCCATCAGAACTAGGCAGAAATATCAAAGGTTTTAACAGACAACATATAGATTAAAAATTCAATAAGACCTAGTAATATTACCTGTATATACTAAAAACATATAACAATAAACAAGAAAGAGCACAGTTTGTGCAGATTTATATTAAGCACATTTTTTATTGAGCACCTTCCTGTTAAAATATAAAAAAGATAAAACTTGCAAACAATTTATTTTAACAGGCTTGTAAACTTTAATGAACAATGGTGATGTAAAGCTATCAATTAGCAATGCTCTTGTCTTTTATTTTAAAAAGGAATGTATTTAAAAAAGTTTTTATATGAAAAAAATTATTTGTAAAAATACTGACCTAAACATGAATATGACCCATGCATTGTTCTAAAGGCGAAAAGTATACAGGTGTGATCTTTTTTTGTTTCTTTTCGTCAGAAGATTCTCCTTTTAAGTGGTAGTTAATAAAATGACTAGCTTTTCTTATGGAAAACCGGGATCGATATCTCTCTTTATAAAAAATAGCAATTTTAGACAAACATCATGCAAAGCACTAGAAGTCAGCAGCACCTGCTGAACAGAATAGTACTACCAAGGTGCATCTGGTCCCTAAACCAAGGTCAAATAATGGTAAAAAAGCATCATTAACAAATTCATGAAAATGAAAAAAAAAAACATTTGCAGAAATAGCACTAATGATTATAGTCCATATGCTGTTTCTACTTAACTCGTCCTTGAGTCAGTCCATTATTATTGCTTTGATAAGGTGGAGAATATTTCAGTTATGTGCTTCCCTGGCGATGTGGAGAAAAAATTCCACCTTATCATGTCCATGGTAACCACACATGTTACATTTGAATGGATTCTTGTAACCATGGTAACCCATGTGCATTGTGTACATGACACAATCTCTAAATGCAATCTCACAGTAAGGACATTCGTACTTGGCACTTTTGTGTCCATTCTTGTCCCTTGGTGTACTGGTTGTAAAGAGATGCATATCTTGTGAGACAGGGAATTGTTTATTGTCTTCACTCCTGTAGTGACCATTAGAGGTCCCTGTGGTGATGGGTGGGGGAACAGGTGCCCCGGTGGTGTCTTGGATGATCTTCCAGGCCAGCTCTGTCCCTCTTCTGACAGCTTGAGGAACATTTTCAGACAAATTACTCATCTCCTCAATGAACTCTTTTGGATCGATTTGTTCTTCACTTGCATCCATTCTATCTTTTGACTCGTTGGCAAAAGTTGGTTCATTAAGTGGAGCAGAAGAGCTTCTCTCATGCTGATCAGTGGGACTCGCAGCAGTGGCAAGTTTCCTCATCTGTTCAAACCTCTGAAGGTCTGTCATTGACTCCATCTCTCCAAGTCTTGGTTCTTTGCTTTTCGGTTCTTCATCATCTCCCTCTTCATTGGTTTCCATATTGTCATACTCATTCATTTCATCAATCTGCAGTTCATCTTCCATATCTTCCATTCCTGAGTTACTTTCTTCCTCCTCCTCTGCATTGTCTGTCTGTTTCTCTTGCAGTTTCAGACAGAGCGTGTCCAGTTTGAAAGCTTTTCCTTTGCGAGATCTTTTTCTGTTCACCACATTTTCAGCAGTGTTCGAGTTTTCACCACTAGACAGGTTTCCACCATCATTAGTTGGATCATCCAAGTCATCTGAAGGTGATCTGGATGATTTTGTGAGGTCAAGTGGACTTTCACGGAATGGCCTTTCTAGATGCAGTCTTGGAGCAGATTGGGACTTTTCAATAGGAACACCTGATCCAAACTTGTTCATCATTTGTTTGATGATGTCTTCACCTTCTGGTGCGTCTGCTTCTTTGGGACTAGCTTTGCCATTTAGGTAGGAACTGTAGTTCATTTCTGGCATGCTGTAATGACTAGTTGGTCTGCTTTCAGGGTTAGGCTTATTGTTTGGTGGTGAATGATGAGGCCATGAGTGGGGACTTGTTTTGGAACTCTCTAGAGTAGGTTGTTCTGTTTTGATATGAAGAGCTGCAGAGGTTGGAATGGATTTCTCAGGTGTAGTTAATTCTCTAAGTGGAGTTACCTGCTGTTGGGAAAGGAAATTCATCTTTCTGTTTTGTTCCTCAAGCAAAGCTTCTGATGAAATACCAAAAATGGAAAATAAGTCTGAGTTTTCTGATGCATGTACTTTCATGACATGACGAAGCAAGTCTTGCTGAATATCTGTGGCAAATGAGCAGAGACTGCACTTAAAAGGTGCACCCATGTTTCCTGGCATGAGGGGTCTGAAACCAAATGGTGAGGATGGCATCATTTTGTTTTGACCAAGATGTGAAGGCAACTTAGCACTGAGTGGTGTTGGTATCATTGGGTGATGGGGTGGAGGCAAACCATTTGGTACCTGGTTGAGCAAAGGCCAAAATGGGGACATCATTCCAGGACTCATTGTTGGAGCCATTCCTGGCAGTGAGTGAGGCATCATAAACTGTCCTACAAATGGGTCAAATTTATCTTTTCTTGGACCCCTTGGTCCCCGTGGTGGTCCTCTCTTCTGTAATAGAGACAATCCTGATGACTCTGCATCAATTCCCTGTGGCAGGCTTCCATCTGTATTCAGAACTGTTGCTGGCTTGTGGTTGTATTTACGCAGATGCAGCTTAAGACTGTGGCAGTACTTAGTGGCATACGTGCAGTCTGCACAGCGATATTGGTACACATTGGTGTGGGATTTCATGTGTGAATTAAGCATGGATTTGTTTACACAGGAGTAATTGCACTTGTTGCACTTGAAAGGTTTGGATCCAAAATGATTTCGGAGATGGTACTCTAGGTGATGTTTGTACTCGGTGACAAACTCACAGCGAGGACATTGCAAGAGTTTTTCCTCCTTGATATGAGATCTAGCATGCTGCCAAAAGTCATTCTACAAAAGGAAATGAAATTTTTGTTAATCATTTTGCTGATAAGGATTATGAATTGTTTTTCATTTTTTTCTCTTCAAGTACACCTCTCACTTCTAAAAGGCTCTTTTTTTTTCTAAAATCCCTTTTCTCAACAAGAAGTTAAAGGAATTTATCCTTTATGAAGAACTTGGCAAGTATATGTATACGACTCTTTTCATTTACCTTATCAGTGGCAACAAAGTCACACTGCTTGCAGCGGAAAATTTTGGGTCTTCCCATGTTGCGTTTGGAACCAAAACCGTCAGGTGACTCCTCCGTGTGAAAGTCCTTGATGTGTCGCTTTAGTCGGCCTTCAGTCCTAGACTTATAATCACAATGGGGACAGATGTGTTCAAAGTGGCATGTCATATGATCCTCAAACTCGGAACGAGTAGTTCCTAAAAAAGAAATTTGGTGAAAATGCATTTTAAGTTATTGATCAACATTGCCTCACCCTAAGGCCTGAATGCTGGACAAATAAACATGAATTTTACAACTTTGCTAGTGGGCACTCGTGTTATCATGAATATATACAGTTTGTCTCTACAATAAGAGGTCAAAGTTATGTGGCACATTTGGTACATATAAATTTGTTCTAATCATAGTTTCTGCAGCTAGGCTGGAGCCACATTGAGAATTCCGAAAGCCAAGAACTCAATTTAAGGTTCATTTATTAAACAGATTTAGAGTAAGGTACATTTAAACATCCATGTATTGTAGATTGGAGTTTCTTTTTTGAATAACCTCCATGTGGACAAAGGTTTCAACCACAATAAGGTTACAAAGTTTACATAAGGTTTTATAGATCTCCTGAACACAAGACTATAATATGTAAATTTGGTATAAAGCAACAATAAAACTGGTGAAATAACAACAGTATCAGAGATTTGTTTGTCAGCAAGAAAAATTAATTCAGGTATGCTTTGTAGCCCATAGGCCTCTCATAATTAAAACTTAGTTTTTTTTGTATCAAACTTTTCTTTTCCTTTTTATAACTGATTCATTGTAAAGTTGATCATATGCAGAGAAATTTTTTTAAATATAAACTGCTCAAACACTTGATAATTTGCTCCATGTGCTGATAATATAATCTTTTTGGAGAACTAACATTGAACCTTTGATCTTAGTTTATCTACCTACATCAGGTAGACTATAAATATATACACAAGTGTTCAATTTGTCTTTTACAAGAAGAAAATTAAGCAGAAAATGAACTCCTTTGACACTTAAATGATCTTTTTCAAGGATTGGTCAGATAATTCTTAAATCATATTATTTTGAAATAAAATACACATTTTTTAAATAAAAAATCCACATAATGTATATTAAATGTCAAATTACTATTCATGTTTTTCCAATTTGACATTTAGAATTGTACTATTAAATAATGTACAATAGTAAAACAAAAAACTCTTTGCCTTACATTAATATACACATAATATCTTGTACATGCATAATATTTACTGCAAGAAAATAGATCATTTATAATTACATATTTGATAAAATATCGGTCAGCCCTGGGCACCACTTATCTTCAATATTTGATTTTAGATAAACTGTGTCTTAAGTCAACATGAGTGAAGTTTTGTACAGGCAGGTTTTTACAGTAACAAAACACTTGATAATGGATGTGGTCACAAAACAACAGGGCCATAAAAGGTTACTACAGCATATATACACCCCTTTTTTGTGTCAACAAAAGACAAGGGGTCAACACAGATATGTAGCACTCTGCTAACCATTTTTAACCTCGCTCAAACACTAAACCTGTAAATCATGCCATCATTAGAAAAAGTTTAAACTCAATAAAAATGAAATCCATTTATCTGGGGACGCTTAAAAACTATTTTATAAACCTGCTTGAAATTCTTGTTAATGGATTTTTTTTCCTCGGTGCTTCAAGATAGTTGTTTATCACTTTCAGAATATCTTGATATCTGTGGAACTGGACAAAGGATTACATATTAGAAACATGGACCTTTTTTATTTAAGCTTTACAAAGAGCAAACATTTTATAATCATTTGTTTATTTTTGTCTCAGTTGAAAAATTTGATCAGCACAGACAAGTATCCTGGAATCATCAAGTTATTTCCATCAAATGTCATACTTCTGTGTTGTCAAAAAATCTATGTTAAATAATTATTTTATATGGCTAACATATCACTGCTGAAAGTGAATTGATCCATTGATACTTTTAAGTTTTTAATGGGGAAAAAAAAAAAAAAAAGCCTAAGTACAGTGTACAAGTACTAATTAAGATAATAGGTTTTTCAGTTTAAATTGGAAAAGTCGGGGAAAAAAAATGCACCCATTTTTAATAATAAGTTTGTAAAAAAAAATGTAAATGTGGGACAGTTTCTGGTTCAAAGGTTGGGCCATTAATTAAGACCATGTTTATTTAAGAATATTGAATACCAACCAGAAAAGCTGCAGAGGTGACAGAAGAAGATGCCCTCCTTGTTTGGCTGGTAGGTGATCTGTCCAGTATTGGGATCCCGTGTGTAATTAGGCTGACCAGTGTTTGGATTTAGGAAGGATGACTCCGATGAATTTGAGTTATCGTCATGGAAACTGTCTGATAGACTGAAGCTCCTCTGCAGGGAGAGATGACCTCGAGGGTTGTCTCCGTCCTGACTTGTTGGGGTTTTGGGAAATCCCACACCAGGGCTAGGATAGCTCCCTCCAAAAGACGACTTAAATTCCTGAAGGTTTGGAGTTGAGTAGCTAGAATAAAATGGCTGTTTAAGATCCGAGGGACTTGGATTTCTGTTAGGATGGTTCTCGTGCCCCTGGGGTGGAGTGGATCTGTCCAATTTCTCAGGAGTGTGAGGTTGCGATTTTAGGGAAGAGTCATGTGATTTAGGAAGGAAATTGTCGGAGCTGATTGTTCCCGGGCTGCTACTTGGTATTTTTTCACCTGTGTCTGCAGCCTGTGGAGACACAATGTCTTTCCTGTAAAGAAAGAATGGAAAGGCTTTTTTATATCAGCTTTTTCTTTATTCATTAAGAACTTCCTACACAACCTTTCTGTAAAATGTTCATCAGAATTTCTATTGGATGATGAATTCAGGAGTCTGTACATTTTTATAAGTGCTAATAAATTACGGGTAAACAAGTTGTAATATATAAAAATCATGAATGAACAATATGTTAGGAAAGTTGTGACATTTTATATGATTTAATTCCTAACTGAAAATACAGAAATATTGTAGCAAGATTCTCACACTCATTACAAGTAAATGTTTAACCTTATCATATTAATACTAGTGTAAATGTAGTAGAGCTATAAAAATTACTGCAAGAGCTACATTAGGACATTTCTCTCGCAGCATTTTCATGCTACAGTAAAACATGCTTTAGCAAAGTGCCTGGAACCTATAATTATGATTTGTTTTTAAGTGTAATTTATAATGTATAACAAGTTCTTAATTCATTTTAAATTTATAGGGAAAGAAAATCACTTTGCTGTAAGTGTGAATTCATTATATGCATATTCCCCATAACCCTAATTTACTGTACTTTCAACTTACCCCACTTTTAAAATTGCACACACTATTTAAAGTGGCATAAAAAGAACTGTCTCTTTAAATAGCAGCATTTTGACCTCAGGACAGATATATCCCTCAAATAAAACTGTCCAAAAGTGCTATTTACAAAGATTATATATAGTTCAAATAAATTGAAAAAAATCATCTAGTGAAATGACTAAAAACATAGGAAGAGTTATGTCCCCTACCTGACCACATCCATCATTGATTATTGGACATTAATTATATTAACTCAGCCCCTAAACTCATCTTGGAGACAGCCTGCATTGTCTCACACACTAACAAAGATATAGATAATACACCAATAATGTCATATATTGTTAACTTTGAACCTGTGGCAGGCATTTTTGCCCTTATGACCATTTTTATCAGGCATTATCATGTTTTTTTCGTGCAGAGAGGACACTCCTCCATCAAAATATGGCGTTTTTCACAGGAGGTCCCGAGTTTCACCATTGTTTTTATCTGATGTGTTATTATCTCTCAAGTATTCAGTGTATACACATTGATAGTGTATCTTATAGTACATCTTTAAATTGAAGAGAAAAAAATCAGACTGTTGAAAATGTGACAAGAGAGGGAGGGGTTATAAAGAGAATCGGTCTGTTGCTAGTTAGACTGGCTGCTGTGTTTCTGGCATGATGCAGACTTTTTTCATCCTTTCAATTTTTTAGTGTTACATAATGCTGAAAATTCAATTCGTTGGAATTTCAATAACTTGACATAAAGGTTAATGTAAATATATATAACTAGATGTTATTAACATAACAAAAATAGATCCTGTTCTCAATTCCTCCTCTGTAACCCCACGACCTGGCATAATTTCATGATCTCATTGCCTATAGTGACCTTGACCTTTGAGACTTGATCTTGAGTCTTGTAAGTCACAGGCAACAATACAGTTTGAATTCCATTCAATCGATGACCTATGCGTTATGGCCTGGTCAGGATTTTGTGTCACCAGATATCTAGACAGACAGACAGACAGACAATCATAGTAAAACCAATATGGCTACTCCCATTGGGAGATACATGAGCTGAATGATACTTGTTTATTGAATTCTTTGTGTGGTAAAGCTGTTTATGGTGTATTTTAATTGTTAACAATCTTAATTGAAAAAGTTCTCAGCAAATCAATTTATATCCACTCTAATCTTTTACTATTATATTATACATTTTATGTACAAACTGTAAACTACAGTAGTTTGTTAGTTTTCCAGTCATGATATCAAAGAGATAAACATTTTGCAAATAAAACCAAACAATTTTAAATTTATTGCTGAAGTGATTTTCATTTCTACTGATGATGTTTATAGCACCCAGGAGGTCAGGTTTGTCTGTCTGCAAGATTTATAAAAAAAAAAAATAAAATAAAAAAATAAATAAATAAAAAAAAAATTTAATTTAAAAAAAAAAAGAGGACAAATTTTAAACAAATCTGGGGAAAGATAAACTCTGATGCAAAGAGAAAATTAAGGATTAAGAAGGTGTGGATGCTAGGCTAGCTGATTTTATTTTTGCATCTTTTGCATAAGGGTACCAATATCTTTCTTCGGAACAGGAAAAAAAAAAGGTTTTATGATATGGAAGTTTGGACCCATGCAAGTCAATATTACCTTAAGTTAGTGACCAGGGTCAATTCTGGTTGCAGAATGGTATTTCTTAAATTTTGTTTTGGTGTAAAATAAATCACCTCATTAAAGTTGGGTTAACAGGGCAGTGAGGTGTTGGGGTCCCCCTAGTTTTTAGTCCCCCCCTTTCTGCTTTGTTTTTATAAAATCAGAATATAATTTCCCAATTTTTCCCTTGCCTATGGTAGCAGATGATAAAGTTGCCATAATTTTAAATGTAGAATCAGGTGTTAATGTTTACCCCCTAAAAGATCACATTAATGATCGACCAGATTAAAATTCAGAATCATTCATAAGTGGTCAACCGGAATTCTTCATATATACACAGTTTTTCTTTAATTTTGTTTATATACAGTATGTATGCAGACAAATAGAAGATGTGTGGAGGTGGGTATTTCCGGAATTCATTATTTTTCAACCAACTGTGATGATTGTCTCCAATAAAATTATTAAATTCTCCAGGAGAGAATCCTCCCAAACAAAACACTGTCAAAACACCAAGTGTTAATCATCTGTTATTTTCTCATTAGATAAGGATTACAAAAAGAAGGAAAAAAGGAATATTAAATTTTAAAATGTCATTGCGTAATGGAGATTGGAAAAAAAAACCTCCCCAACTTACCTTTTTTTCTGTATACAGCTTGCAATTTTTCATACAAGTATTATTTTTTAAAGCCTTTCCAAACAGGAATTAAACAATTCATCTCAAAGGTTGCACGCGTATGTCAAATCCCACACTATGTAACTCCTTAGGAAGGTCACATTGTTTTTAAAAAAAAAAAGTGCAATTTTTTTTCCTCACTCTCGATTTTTATCACTACGATTGTACACCACAGGTGAATTGTTTTAAAGAGTTTTATAGCACAGGTCAGAGCAAAAAGTCAGGTGTCCAAAGTGCTTGTCACAACGTGAAACTTATCTTCCGAGAGCCTCACCTTTTTTTATGACATTTTACCTCTCTCTTACAAAACATTTTATTTGGGTTCACCCAACCCCAGATAAAAAAAATCCTTTTCTATTTTTCTCCATGTCAATATGTTATTGAAACTGTTTTTTCAATTGACAAATCTTTTTTTCAATATTTGTGGAAAAGATTTCAGTGGGGACATTCAAAAATTAATGATGTATTTATATTCAATCAGGTTTTTTAATCAATGTACAACAACTGAAAAGCAACTTCACAAAAAATCCAATATAACACACTTTTGTTATAAAAACATTTGGATTTGGTAAATTGAATAAACTCTTTTGTCACTGCGCTACTTTTTAGGGTTTTGCAAGAGTTGGAATGTAACGTAAACTAACAGGCAATTTCTTTTATAATTGAATTTGAGATCTAAAATAAATTACATTGATGTTCATATTGAACAGAGTTTGAATGAAGGCTCACACTTTCAATGTATGCCATTAACTCAGGTTTTTTTTTTCTGTTGACCTTTTGGATACAATGCATGAAAAAGACAGTTTACATTCACACTCTACATGTGTGGATTTAGTGATTTAAGGTCCTATGATTTATGACTGACAATATAGAGTTAAAGTACTTTAAACTGAACTCCAGCCTTAAAATATAGATACCAACAAAAAAAATGCAACAAGGGAGATAACTCCATCTGTCTCAGTGCCCTACCAACCCTGAGGTTTTCTGTAAAAAAGCTTCACTCTTAAGTTTGATGGCTACAAGTTATTTTTGTAGTGTATATTACTATCATGTTTTAAAATTTGAATTAACAGGGTGGAGGTAAATGCTACAATTACAACATGATAAATAAACTTTGCATTTACTACTACCCAGTAAATTCAAAACTTACAATATTATAATATATTCTATTTTTTTTTTTTGTTGTTATTTTTTTTTTACTTTGGGAGCTACACACTTAAATATGTGGTTTAATCTTAAAAGAAAAAGTACAAATAAACTTTCCTAAAAACCACAAGCCCTGGTACACTGCTCTAAATTTACTCTTTATTATGAACACAAGTGGACAGCTCAGAGCCGAGTTTTTCATTCCCCAAAAATTTCCGCTCCAGGGTTCCTTTACCGGAAAGCAACAACTAAGACACACACTATTTTTCTCTTCATCACACATTCAATTTTTTTTTTCATTGGTACGTAATAAAATAAGGATGAGATGTAGAAAAATTCACCCTCTTCCTGTCCGGAGCCAAAACACTTCAGGGGAACATCCTACTTGTATGAAAGAAACATTGTTACAGTTTTATATTTCACATGAAATAATTTGTTGGGCTTGCGGGATTGTCTGTTAAATACAGAATAACTATGTTCAGTTGTTAGCATTTATAGGTACATGTATGCACACTGCTTTAATTGTCAAATTAAATTTTTTGTATAAGTCTACTTAATGAATTTGAAGATAAAAAAAAATGCTGACAGCAGTTTCACAGAAACTTTTTTTGATTGAAATATAAAAAGAATCTTTCCTCCTTTTAAAGAAGACTGACATTAAGACTCTCTCTCATGAAACAAAAAGATTAATTCAATTTTTAAGGAGACAATCTTGTCTTTTTTTACACTCATTTAATTTTGCTGTGGAAGAAAACAGGGCAGCAAAAAAAATTCACTTACTTAAGAAGAGAGAAATGATTGCAATCCAAACCCAAAAATAAAGGGGGAGTTTCGATAAGGCCGCTTATCGGCCCACTTATTTCCATAAAAATAAATTTCTTTTTATTTTTTCAAAATTGGTTTAGAATTCAAGATATATATGTTAATTTTTGTTATTTATATTTCAAGAGTTTATATGAGATGAAT